TATCTATCTATCTATCTATCTATCTATCTATCTATCTATCTATCTATCTATCTATCTATCTATCTATCTATCTTATCTATCTAGCCCAGTTTGGTCTAGTGAGAGCCAATTTGGTTTCGTGGTTGAAGGCAACAGGTTAGAAACCAGGAGAATGTGACTTCTAGTCTGCTTTTAGGCATGGATACCAGCTGTGTGACTTTGGGCCTGAACTAGGCATGAAAGCCAGTTGGCTGAGTTTGAGGACCACTCATTCTCTCTCATCAACCTCATAGAATTATTGTTGTGGGGAAAATAAGAGGAGAAAAAGTATATTGCATATGTTTGTAACCTTGAGTTATTTACAAAAACATAGATGGCCTAGTTGTCTGTCTGTCTATCTACCTACCTACTTACCTAACTTCCTATCCACAGAACTTTAAAGCAAGACACCAATCCTGCCTCTTTAAGGCTGCAATGATCCCATTGAAATAAAGTTTATTTCTGAGTAAGCATATTTAAAGTTTATAAAGTATTGTATACCATTACATGTTGATTTGAAGAATAGATTATGCAACTGAATCCAAGACGTGTTTACTTGGAAGTAATTATAATTAAACTTAGGATTGAACGTCACTTACCCTTACTTTGTTTGCAAATTCTCATCTTAATTGATTGCTTGGTGTTCAGAAAGGCAGATCTCATTTTAGAAATAAAATCTGGGAATAATATTTGGCAAGAATGGCTTCATTTCTTTTAATAGATGCTGGCTGGGCAAAGGAAATGTAAAAAATGCTTCCTAGCACTTGAGCTGAAATAAGCTTGAAGAAAACATTTGAGAAGAGCCTAATTAAAACCCTGGAACTAAAGAGAAACTCTTAGCAGCAGCAACTTGAAACAAAATGTTTATAAATGTTAGCAAAATATTTAAGAAATTTATTTTAGGAAAATATATAGCCTTTTTTTATGTGAGACCCGTCACACTGAACCAGAAACTTTAAAATAGATATCAAAGAAAGAGATAGGAATGATTAGGAAGACTGAAATTTTATATTGAATTTACAGTTTAGATATCCAATGTCCTTTGTAGTATAATAACATATGTGTTTATCCCTGGTCCAAACACTGCGCTAAGCCAAAATGTGGTTTGGATGGTTTAGATTTATGTAAACCCAGTCAATTGTGGTTTATTCACAAATCCCCAGTTAAGCCATAACTTAGCATCGAGTTTAAACCCAGCCAGTCAGGAAGTTACACCATAACTGTGTGCACCAAGCAAATTTTGCAGTATGGAACAAATTAGATATCACGGCTTAGCGTAATGCATGAAGCAGGCCATTGTGTGCAAAGCCAGCCATTGGTAGTTTGTAAACTATGGCTTATGGTTTAGTACAGGGGTCCCCAAACTTGGCAACTTTAAGACTTGTGGACTTGAACTCCCAGAATTCTCCAGCCAGAATGGAGCCTCATGGGCTCCATTTTCACTGTCAGAGGGCTGCAGGAGGCTGTGGCAGCTGGAAATGGAGCTCGACGGGAGCCCGATTTTGGTGGCAGAGCCCCGGGGCCAATACAGCACCCCAAACACGAGTGACATCAAGCTGGCCATGCTCACCCCAGCCCCTCGAGGTCAAACAGAACCCTGATGTGGCCCTCAATGAAGTTGTGTTTGACACCTCCTGGTTGAGGGGAATGTGAAACGCCTTGCCCTGCAGGCTTGCTCCTGGTGTGTTTCTCAAGGTCTGCTCTGCACATGTGCTTCTTTTTGTATTTGAAGTTGGCCAATGGAAAAACTAGTGTCAGGACCAGGATTCTCCCACCTCTCAAAGCTGTGCCTGAATCACTCTCCCACAGCCAGAGAGCGACCCAGCTGCCCTTTGACCAGGCTGCAAAGGTGATTGAGCTGTTGGTGGGTGGTCTTTTCTTTTTCTTTTTACCCACCAAGCATGCTAAGCCCATCATTAAAACACAACAGGCTGCTTAGAAGTAGGGGGAGAATGTGCAGGACACTTTCCCTTGGTGTTATCTCTGAGCAGAAGATGGATGGCAGAGTTGGCTCAGCAGTGTGTTTATTTCTCCAGAGCTTTGCTAATAAAATCCTCTAAATATCCCAATGACATTTTTAAACAGTGTGTGGAATCTGTTGCTCGTTTTCCAATCGCTTGGCTTATGGTTTCCCATTGCATTTGCTCCTAAATATCCCACCAAAAATGGCCCTTGTGAGTCCTGAAGAAAGATAACAAGCAAAACCGTGTATCTTAGTACACTGTCAAACAAAATAACATAAACATTGATAGAGAAAAAAAATCTTTCTATTTACGTGACACTCTAAGTCCCCATCCTACCCCTTTACTTTAAATGAGGATTTCACTGCCATAAAAATATGTAGGCATACACACTAGTTGGGTGAACTTATTGTGATAAGTGGAGTTTGTCTTATCATAATTCCCAAGGTATATCTTTTATTGTGCAAGTGGACTGTTTTTGTTTGGCAAGATTTCTGTCTTCTTCTCTTTCTTCTTGTGCTGTATCCATCATCAGACATTGGCAATCAATGTTGGTGATCCTCTTTTTATCAACAACAGCACGAAAAAGTGCTGTTGAGTTTTGTCCAAACTAGCCCCTTAGATTTTGAAGCCACAATGTTCTTCTTCTCCTTGGACCTCATTTGCCTTCAACCTTTCCTTGAAGGATTGTGAAGTATGCCGTGTTTTTCCAGGTATCGCATCACATGTCCAAAATATTCTAACTCTCGCTTTTTTATGGTTTTGAAGATTTCCCTTGGCTTTCCCAGAAATCCAAGATTTCTGTCTATAGATAAGAAACCATAAAGAAAACGGCTTAGAAGAATCTCAATGTCTTTCTTGGTTTTGGCACTTGACAAAGGGAAACTTAATACCTACTGTTCAATTCTACATATCTTTACACAATCAAAACCAAAGAGCAGCAACTCAAAAATGGTCTCATATAGTCCATTTCCATTGGTTGTTGATAGAATATTATCTTCTTGTTTGCCAGTCAACTTAAATTGGCTCATTGAGTAGTTATTCTATCCAGGAAAAAGATGGTGGACCTCTATTGACATCGGTTCTATGACTTCAGTTCCCTTGATCCTTTCACCATTCATATCATTGGTATCCACTGATGTTTCTGTTTTCTCATCTTTGTCTTCTAGATATGGAATGTGCCGATGTGCCTTTGTTAACTCCAAGCAGCAAAGAAATGATGTCTCAGGCATTAAAAGCCACATTCAGTGGTTTCACAAAAGAGCAGCAACGACTGGGAATACCCAAAGGTATGTCACAAATGTTGATTTGTGCCAACGTGCTACAAGATTGTGTGGTTTCAAACAGGTGCAAGTTGAATGGGTTTCTGGAATATATTCTAGAGCCCCTCCTATGTCATTCAGCTTTCATTTAGTATATAAAAAGCAATTTGAACATTGCACAGCATTTGGGACAAAAGGGTAGCAGTTCTATCATATATGGATATGTTGTAGTTACCAGTACATAGAGTTGTCTCTGCAGCCTTCAATAACCTTGAGATTCACATGTCTATGGAGATTCTCATTCATCCAGATCATGGTTGTCCCAAAAGTGTTTTCTCAAGAGGCAACTGGACTTTCTTGTTTTTTTTCTTTCCATTCTTCACCATCCAGTCAGAACTGAAGAAGCTTCTTGGATGAGAAGCAAAACGTCTTCAAAGAAAAAACAAGAAAATCCAGTTGCTTCCTGAAAAAGCACCTTTGGGACAACCATGAACTGAATGACTGAGAATCTCTACAGACTTTTAGCTATAGAATCTGGGATCATGAACACCCTTTGAATGGTGTGGAAGTAGGAATGGATTTCCAGAGGAAAAATTGCAGACTACAGGAGTAGAAGCACAACTCAGGTGACCCTGAGGACACAGATAAACCTCCAAGCACTTTGAAGACATTTGCTTCTTGGATAGAAGCAAAACATCTTCAAAGAAAAACTTGAGATTCATAGTTTCTTTGATCTGATACTTAACTAAGTGACATTCAACTTAATGGTGGAAACACCTGATAGCCTTTTTCTTATATGTTACAATATTTTTAAGGAGTGGTTGTTATGTTATTAAGAAAGAAGTATTATTTGGTACTGAGAAGCTGACATAGGCAGTTCTCAACTTACAACGATAATGGAGTTTCCCCATCAATGATCATAACTTGTCATCCTTTAGGCCACCCATGTGGCTGATCCAATTTTACAACTTTTTTTGCAGTGGTGATTAAGCAACCACCATGCTTGTAGAATGATCACTGCGGTCATTAAACAAACATCCTGGTTCACAATGGGCTGATCTTGCCAAAAATTTGAAGTAAATACTTGTTTTTTTTCAGCAAAACCATCACAAAACACAGTCATGCAACTGTGGGACACTGCAAATGGCAGTAAAAGTGGGCTGGTTGACTAATGCCTAACATGTGGTAACGTGACTGCAGGGGGAGCAGCTATTGTAACTTCGGAACTGGGTTGTAAGTACCCCTGAGGAGGTCTGTTATACGTTCAGACAGTTGAGAAGCAATCTGTTGTAAGTCAAGGGCTATCTGTAGACTGAGCAAAATTGGAAAGAATATGTCCTGGAGATGGTTTCCAATATCTGATCATCCAAAGAACTTCTGGATAATATCCAGCTTCCTGCCACCTTGGATAAAAACTGCTGGAGAACTCTTACCAAACCAGAAGAGGTCTCTTTGCCAATCCTGCTGGCGTATTGGAAAAGGCTTACATCTCATTGGATTATCAACAGTGGAGAGAGTATAGTGGTGATATTTTACCAGTTCGGCCCAGTTCAAGCAAACCGGTATTAAAAAATTGCTACCGGTTCAGCCAAACCTGTATTTCCAATGGTCAGCTGTGCCGTGCAATTTAGATTAGCTAGAAAGCAGGAAATCATTGGATTTCTTGCTTTCTAGGTAATCTAAATTGTACGGCACAGCTGATCAACACCCCCCCCTCGCTGTTGTACTTACTTTCCAGGAAGTAAGTGGGCCCAGTAGGCAAAAAATGGGGCGTGGGGGGAGGGTGCTGCGAAAGGAAAAAAAAAATATAGCCACACCCACCCAGTCACATGACCACCTGTCCATGCCCATCTCACCACACCCACAGAACCAGTATTTAAAAAAAAAATTGAATCCCACCACTGGAGTACAGTATGATTTTTTTTCACTGAGAGAGATATAAGGACCAATAATTCAGGCTAGCAGAGGTCTTGCAGCCTTTCCCAACAGAATGCCGTCAACTGCGTACAAAGCGCCACACCTGGTAACCCCTTTCACCTGTGGTTTCCTCATGCAGATCCTCACCAATGGACAGAAACTCATGTACGGGACTGGATTATGTGGGCTATGAATGAGTTCAGTCTGAAGGATGTGGACTTCCAGAAGTTCTGCATGAATGGAGCTGCCCTGTGTGCTCTAGGAAAGGACTGCTTCCTTGAATTAGCGCCAGACTTCGTAGGGGACATTCTTTGGGAGCATCTGGAGATGTTGCAGAAAGGTAATAGATGATGACCACCAATAAAGAGCTGGGTTGCTTTGATGTATTGGAAGACTACACAAGTTCATGGGAGTTTCTGGATATCCCACTGCAAAAATCAACGTTCCTGGTCCTGCATCACTTTAATTTATTGTACGCATGAAGGCAAATATAGGTGTTTCATTTATCGTGTTTAATTGTTCCTCAGAGATATAAGTATAAAGGTAAAGGTTCCCCTTGCGCATATGTGCTAGTCGTTTCCGGCTCTAGGGGGTGGTACTCATCTCCATTACAAAGCCGAAGAGCCAGCGCTGTCCGAAGATGTACCCGTGGTCATGTGGCCAGCAGGACTAAACACCGAAGGTGCATGGTACGCTGTGACCTTCCCACCAAAGTGGTCACTATTTTTCTACTTGCATTTTTACATGCTTTCGAACTGCTAGGTTGGCAGAAGCTGGGACAAGGAACGGAAGCTCACTCTGTTACATGGCACTAGGGACTCGAACCACCAAACTGCCGACCTTTCTGATTGACAAGCTCAGCATCTTAGCCACTGAGCCACTGCGTCCCTAGATATAAGTATATGGTATCCCTATTGAATATTTTGGCAGAGTTTGGTTACAGTGAAAGGCTCACAAAGCAGCTTGCCCTTGCCCATAAATTGGTAAAGCTAGTTTAATCTTTATCTATATTTTGAGAATATAGGAAATTGCTTTAAGAGATTCTATTTATTTAGGAACTATCTACATAAGGTGTGCCCAACTTACAACCTGTAGGCCACATGTGGCCCTGGACAGCTAGTAATGTGGTCTATAATAAACTCTCTTTAGTTTTCTATATCTTTGATTGTCTACATACATTAACTATATCATATATTTTATATGTGGCCCAAGACAATTCCTCTTCACTCAGTGCAGCCCAGACAAGCCAAAAATGTGGACAACTTTGTGGGTTGATTAATGAAAGGTCAGTGGATTCCAGAGTATCATCAAATCCCAAAGAGATACCTTTCATCCCCTCCCTAGGATACCCCCATGCTGCCTCCCCAGAGAATTTTGGGACTTGAAGTCCATGCATCTTAAAGTTGCTCAGGTGGAGGAACAATGAATTGGACATGAGTTCAACTTTGCATGAATGTACAATACCACAGGGATCTTATCAGGTTGCTGACTTAGTCTACATATACTAGACTAGGGTGTCAAACTTGATTTCATTGAGGACTGCATCAGGGTTGTGTTTGACCTCGGAGGGCTGGGGTGTGTGTGACTGGGATGGGCATGGCCAGGGTGGGCGTGACACCAGACTTGTGTCAGGGGGCACCTGTGGTGGCCAAGTGTTAAGGCAGGACTTCCCTAAAACCCTCCCTCACATTAAAATCTCCTTCTTCCCTCCCTCCCTCCCTCCCTCCCTCCCTGCCTTCCTTCTCTTCTTTTTCCTCCCCTCTTCATTCTCCTTTCTTTTTCCTTTCCCTCTTTCCTTATTTTTCCTTCCTCGCTCTCTTTCCATCTTTCCTTCTTCTTCTTTGTTTTTCCTCTTTTCCTTTATCCTTTCCTGTCCTTTCTTGCATGTTCATATGCAAAAGGGGGAAACATTTCTCCTTTTGTTTTGTTTTTAGTTTGTTTTGATAGCCCTCTTCCAGCTTCCGGGTGGGGAGAGTGGCGTGCTTGCCTTCCCAAGCTCCATTTTTGCTGGCAGAGGCACCGCAAGCTGGTCCTTTCAAGGCTGGCCCCATGGGGAAGATCTAAGCACCCCATCTGGTCCACGGGCCTTGAGTTTGACACCCTGTTCTAGACCCAAATGCTGTTGTAAAATTATACCTTTCTCCCACCTGTAGCTGATTATTCCTGCATAAAGTCTTTTTAGTTTTTTTTTCTCCATCTCTGTGCTGATGCATTTAAGAAGAGGAGTTCTGCACAAACAAAAGAACACTTCAGCCACAGATAGGAAGTGTTTCTGTGCTCTGCTTTAATGGGTGGGATTTTCCAGCTTGTGTATAGTTTACCAGTATTCAGTTCTTTGCCAAATAACTGCAAAATCTCATTCTCCTTGGAGCCTGTGGGGAAAAGGTGCCAAGGAACCAAGTTCACTGCCAGGCTACACACAGTTTATAAGGGCAAAGCTGTGTTTCTGACACCTCCTTTTTCCAAAAATAATGGGAAAGCATCTGCTATTCCTGGACTACCCTGGATAAACTAGAATAAGTAACAGAGTGGCATTCAGTCTTGAATAATAATGTGAAACCAGTTGTAAATAAAGGGTGCCCACTAAGATGTTTGCAGACCATTTTGGAGGCTTCTGTAATAGGTAGAGACAGGTGTTTATTATTCTATTTTGGGAGGCAAGAGTGGGCTGGGACAGTTTTATCTGTTCCATAAAATCCACTAAAAAGGTAGGGGATGTTGCCACCTTCTGTGGCTTTCTTAAGATAAACACGCCACCATGTTTGGATGTAAGATGGGCAGCCTCTCCTTTCTCGTGTTGGTGGCATATAGCTGCAGTTCTTTTCTTCTCCTTTTTCATTTCCAACAAGCTTTGGTGTGAGAGTTGAGTAACAGAACAAGCTACAGGCAGAGCATAGAAATTTGAGTTTCCTTGTGTTTTGTTGTGCTGTGTACACTGGCATCATCATGGCATGCCTAAGACATATGGTATACCAGGAATCTAGGGCTTAAGGATTTGATTTATCAAAATCCCAGGTAACTTCTGGTGGACTGGGAAAAATTCCTTAGATTGAAACTTTTTAAGAATCAATGACTGTAGAGATTACTAATCTGAACTGGAGTATGTTAGCTGATTTCCCCAAATATTATGTTAACCTCTTCAGTCAGTAAAACAAGGATCCAGATTGTTGCTAACTCTTTAAACTGCTTAGAAAGGGCTGTAAAGCACTCTGAAGTGGTATATACAGGAAGTCTAAGTGCTTTGGCTAAATGCACAGCAATGCATGTTGCTGCTTTGGTACTCCTTTTTATTTGTTTACCTGCCTGGGAGTTAGTGAGGGGTGGCATCTCCTTAGAATTGAACAATATTCTAGGAAACAACTTTAGTTGATGAAATTGACGGGCACGAAAACAACACCCAAATTAGCCAGTGGTTTTTAAGCTAGAGATATTGGCAAAAGTTGATTAAGGTTGAGTTTTAGAAAATAAGGACTCTTTTTGCTAAATAAGGACCTGGAAACATATGTAGCGAAACCTTGTTTAAATGGCTTATTTGGAGGAAGACATTGTTGATTATTCCCCATAGTCTGAGAAATAGAATAAGCGCATCACTGTGACGATAAATTATCTGTATCATTATGCAACTACCAGAATTTTGCATTCTGACATTAGGGAAATAATCAAGTTAAATCATTTGTATACACATGTCCTTACGTACATTGTAGTGGAATTTAGTTTGCTGTATGTGAAGTCCATTTATGGAGGTCCAGAAAATTGAGCATGAAACAGGCTGAAACAGGTTGAAAAACAATGTTCACTTTCTATTTCTATTTGTAAAACTAAAAAGGAGAAGTCATCATGGGTCTGATAGCTATTATCTATGACTAGTGAGATAAAGATTGACTAAAGCAGAGGTGTCCAACCTTGGCAACTTTAAGACTTCTGGACTTCAACTTCCAGAATTCCCCAGCCAGCCATGCTTAAAGTTGCCAAGGTTGGACACCCGAAGTATAATCATGACCATTGGGTAACTTTTCATGAAGGTGCTAAGGTTAAGGGAAGCCCTTCCTCCCCCTTAGTCATCTTTCAATCCTATATTTACATATGCAATGGCTAGTTTTGACCCACCAGGGAATGAAGTGAGGATCCTATTAATTTTTGCTGATTCTGGACAGAGGACAGCCAGAGAATAGTATATAAATCCATTCAAAAAGAATCTAGTTTTGACCTCCCTTTCTGCTAGGAGGATGGGGAAGAGCTAAACAAAACTAAGATTTGTGGGAGCTGAGTTGTGGGAGTTTTGTGCCCTTTTCCCTCCTCCAGGACAGACCAGCAGGGAAGGGAACAGGCCAGATTATACCCTGTTTCCCTGAAAATACGACCTACCCTGATAGTAAGTCCTAGCTTGATTTTTACACCTGTGCCCAATATAAGCCCTACCCTCAAAATAAGCTCTAATTAAGAGCCAGCCCACTCCAGAGTGGACGGGTAAAAATTAAGCTAGGGTGGGTATATGGGGGTGAAGCTGCCCTACTACTTACCTTTGGACAGTTGTAGCCAGGCCATTTCTTCTGCAGCCGGCAAGGCTGGCAAGGCTTTCCTGAAGGCCTCTATAGCTGATAACAAACTCCAGATCGATCTGGAGCTCTGTTATTGGCTGCAGAAGCCTTCTGGAAAGCCTTGCTGGCCATAGAAGAAGCTGTTCCTGAAGGCCTCTGACAACGAAAAGGAGGCCGGGGGGCAGCGGGGGGGAGGCGACATGTGCAAGTGAGGTTAGTCAGTGGATGAGATCCCCCGAAAATAAGACCTGGTGCCTTTTGTGGTTACAAAAAAATATAAGATAGGTTCTTATTTTTGGGAAAACACGGTAGTTGTAGAGAAGGCACCAGCTTTGTAGTCAACGAGAGGGCACTGCTGACTGTGAGGAACAAGGGTTTATTTTAGGGCACAGGGAATGGAAAGGGACTAATTTTGAGTATTCTGAAATACATGTCAATGAAGAAGACTTTGCCTGATGCCTTTTCTGTCTTTGTAAGGCAGCCTGTGGTAGGTGAGTCACCTCTGGCTAAAATGTTTTGAAATACCTTAGTGTGTTGGAAGCCTGCTCATAAAAGTAATCTGGACAGGTCAGAAAGTTTGACCCTGGCCATCTTGATTACTTTGACTATGCAATTCTTCATGGTTGCTTTGGTAAAAGTTTTTGAAGTTATGGCGCTAGGACACGCTGCTCAGTACAATCTGGCCTAGTCAAGCTGATATTGAGCATAGGGGCTTCTTATCCTGGTTGAACAGTTCATGGGCTACATAGACCCCTGAGATGCTTTTCTAGATTCCCCCAATTCCTCAAGATCCTCCTGTTGACTAAGAGAATTGTATTATTCTATTTGTTTTGCTAACAAATTACACGGAGGGATGTAAGAGTACCGAGCCTAAGACAGAACCTAGGGGTACCCGTAGGTTCTGTCTTAGTCTCGGTACTCTTCAATATCTTCATAAATGATCTAGATGAGGAATAGAAAGGGAACTCATCTCATTTGCTGACGGCATTTTTCCCTGTGTGCAATTTGTTAGCAAATAACTGAATAATGAAGACATAATTTCCTGCATAGGAGTATGATGCTTTCCTTGTTCACAGTTTTGAACAATTGTCAAATTAAACCAAAATCATTGAAAAAATATTCAGCGATTTTGCAACATGACTAGACCGTGCCATATGGCATACTCATGAGATGTAGCTGCCAGCCACAAACAGTTTTCCTAGTCTGATAAAAATTGAGGGAAAATCCTATTACCCAACTGTAAGTCATGTAACCGTATCAACCACGTTTGTTTAATAGAACTTAAGGAGGACAATTCTCATGTTTATCTTCCATTAGCCAGCTTGGCATATGGTTGGTGATGATGGGAATTGTGCTCATATAATGTTGATTACACCAGCTTGCTATCCTTATTGCAGTCAGTACCTTCAAGCTGTTTAAAATAATAGATGTTACATAGGAAAAGTCATGGAAATCATATACAAATTTTAATACAGATGTTCATTCATGTCATGGAAAGCCATGCTTACATGTACATTACTGGACTCCGGCGATTCATGCCTTTATGGTCCACGTGTTGCATTTCCATAGCAGATTTCTTGGTAATTAACACTTCCAATGTTCAACAAAGTATTTCCATAATTTTTCCTTCACGGGCCCTTTTTGACGTGTTCATCACCACGTTGTGTGATGACTTTGCATCAGTCACAGTTTCTCAGTTTCACCTAACTATGTATATTGTTGTTAATTGTATTGTTGTTGAATAATTGAGATATTCTCTTTCATTTATTTGCTACAGAAGAGATCAAGCCATATCCAGCAAATGGAATAAATACTGCCTATCCAGAATCTCGCTATACATCCGACTACTTCATTAGTAAGTCCAATTCCTCTCTTTCTTTCTTTCTTTCTTTCTTTCTTTCTTTCTTTCTTTCTTTCTTTCTTTCTTTCTTTCTTTCTTTCTTTCTTTCTTTCTTTCTTTCTTT